TACATGAAATGTTTGATTAATAACAATAGCAATAACTCATTATGTCGTGATGAAGCTAAGGAATATTTAGCATGTAGAATGGAGAATAATTTAATGGCTAAAGAAGACTGGAATAATTTAGGTTTTCAAGAAAATAAAGAAGAGCGATAGTCATTTATTATCTTACTAGCTCTTATTTATAATTACAGTGTAGGTGAGGTTTTTTAAAGTATTAAATAGAATGTACAGTGTGCTTAATTTATGAAATTAAATAAATGTTTTGTGAATATGCATGACTTTTTATACAATAGCAACAATTACTTTATTGCTGTTGATGCAAATCAGATTCGAAAAGCATTATGAAGTGTGAATCGTGCTTTCGGGAAGAAATAATTCACAACATATAACAATAACAAGTAAGCTGGGGTCATAAAATACCTCAACCATACATTAAATAATAATTGAATAGAGTGAGATTTGCTCATCCTATAGCTGTTGCTGCAAATAACTTTAGGTTTGTAGTTTAAGGCAGTTGTGTTTAATATAATTAAGGCTTGACTTAAGTTGTCATTTAATTATCAAGGACATTAATTGGATCAGTAATGTGATTTTAACCCACTGCTGAATCGCAACAAAAAGAAAATGTTCATATATTTCGAAAGTCACAGAAAAGCATGTTCAACTGCTAGTAGGTAAAAGTAGGTAGGTAGGAAGAATACATTGATTATTATGACAGAAAAATAAAACATGTTAATTCCCAATAGTAAGCCAAACCAAAATCATACCTCATTTTGCACAGCATTCATGTTAAACAAAATCATTGTAATAGATCCCAAACCTATGTTTGGAATAACGCTTAAAAAAATGTTGCTTTGTGAAATTTTGTATAAAACAACAGATCCTGTCTTTGCAATCCCTCGTCTGAGGTTCTTGCGTGGGAAGTTTGTGGATGATGACTTAAAAATTATCAAGTACAATAAAATGAAGTCTTCTTTATTCTGTAATTACACAATAAAATTAAAACTAGCATCAGAAGGAATATTATTTTGTAGATTAGATGATAGGAAGAAAAAAGGCATGTCTTCAGATTTCCAAATTTATAAAAAAAATACTGGTCAAATATTGATAGTTTAGATGCTCCACCGTGTCTCAGGTCTAGTTGGGTGGCGGAAATGGCCATGGCGGATGGGTACAATTCTAGATTGAAAAATAAAATATTTGAGTTCAGTGGTTAAACAAACCTTAAAATTGCTCTCAAATGCTTCCGTTACAAAATTCACTAGACTTTTGTATATGCAACAAAGTTGCCATTTTGAAATCTCCAGTTTGAGCTCAGTTTAATATTCCCGTTATGTTGCGTTAAGTTACATTAGTTATTAAAATATTTTTTATCATTTTATTATTATTTTGTTGTATTGAATGTTATGCCGGCAACTCACATGCGCGCGAACATTTGTACATTATACGAAAGTTTGCGCGCATGTGAAGGGCCCTCAAACTTAGCGGCTGTGCAAATGGGTTCGGTATTCAATTTGCGAACCCGTTTGCGCTTCCTCCTACACTTGTTTACGAATGTCTCACGAATTTCTCCTCCTTTTTAATTCGTCAATAGAACATTGAAGAGAAAAAGAGTTTTGAATTATTTCCCAGACATCATTAACAGCCATGCTGTTTTTATGGGATTTCTTTTGATGAAGATACGCTACACAGTAGACGTACGATCTATGAAAATAGCGAAACGTCCGTTGCCTTCGCAATCCTGGGCGCAACTGGTCACACGAATGTGTGGGAGACTTTTTTTTTTTTTTTTTTTTTTTTTCCTACCTAAGCTGAGAGCNGAGGGCGGAGCCTTGCGGGACTCCGGCGGTGACGTGACGGGGCCGGGAACGCGTTCCCTCGACTCGATATCGGAACGAACGGTTCGACAAGTAGTCTCGTATGATGAGCACGAGTCTGTCTGGCACTCCCATGTTATACAGTTTGTATATCAAACCGTTGTGCCAGACTTTGTCGAACGCCTTCGCTATATCGAAGAAGAGGGCTCCTGTCGGAATGGGTGGGAGACTACGCGAAGGATCGCGGTTCGCGCGCTTTGATGTCTGTTAAAAAACCGACACAGTTGGAAAACCACGAATGCAGCGAAAACTTTGCATAATCATTTGCAAATGTCGTCCTACACTTGCGGGCTGGCGTATTCTTGCGAATGTGAGTGACCGGTATTATAATAGTCATCAATATTATCTAAAAAAAGTTTTTAATTTGGATGGCATTTAACATGTCAAAGTCAAAATAATATATTCTGGCAACAATGAATGTGTATTGTAAGCCTAAAAATGTTTTCATTCCTAATAGCTGCCACATTATGCGGATATTTCGACTACGCTTAGATGGGTAGGCGAGCTCACGGGCTCAACCTAGAGAATTTGCTAACACTAGCCCTAGCGAGAGCAGTAGTTCGCAGAATCTACCGCCGGATCGTATCGCGACCCACTGAGAAATCCGGCTAGAAACTCAGTGGGCTGTGTCTATGAATTAGGTTGCACGTCGAGCTTGTCATGACGGTATGTCTGGAAGTGTTGTAGAGTGTCACCTTGTTACGAAGGGATAATTTACTTCACGCCTCAAACACTTCGTCTCTTAACGTGGGTGTTGTAAAAAGCGACCGAAGTAGAACCGACGGCAGTATTCTCTGAGAATCATACTGCTACGATCTCCAAATGGCGTTTAATGGTGCTAGGGTGTATTGAGGGATGGGTAGCAGCGTCCTGTCTCGTTCTAGCGTCTAGCAATCAATTGTCCCTGTTTGCAGGGTGGAACAAATATAATACATTGTCCCTGAAATTTCGACCTCATGTGTCAAGGTAGGTGACCATCAGGTGGGCCGTATACAAGCATGCGGCGCACCTGATGGTCAGTCAGTTTAGTCATGCCATGAGCAGACCAACGTTAAGTATTCTACGTAAGGCTCGTTTGAAGAAGGACATGTCAGTGTGACATAAACATACTTAAAGTCTTGTAGTAGTCGTCGTGGCCTAACGGATAAGACGTCCGGTGCATTCGTGTTGAAGCGATGCACCGGTGTTCGAATCCCGCAGGCGGGTACCAATTTTTCTAATGAAATACGTACTCAACAAATGTTCACGATTGACTTCCACGGTGAAGGAATAACATCGTGTAATAAAAATGAAACCCGCAAAATTATAATTTGCGTAATTACTGGTGGTAGGACCTCTTGTGAGTCCGCGCGGGTGGGTACCACCANGGATCGTATCGCGACCCACTGAGAAATCCGGCTAGAAACTCAGTGGGCTGTGTCTATGAATTAGGTTGCACGTCGAGCTTGTCATGACGGTATGTCTGGAAGTGTTGTAGAGTGTCACCTTGTTACGAAGGGATAATTTACTTCACGCCTCAAACACTTCGTCTCTTAACGTGGGTGTTGTAAAAAGCGACCGAAGTAGAACCGACGGCAGTATTCTCTGAGAATCATACTGCTACGATCTCCAAATGGCGTTTAATGGTGCTAGGGTGTATTGAGGGATGGGTAGCAGCGTCCTGTCTCGTTCTAGCGTCTAGCAATCAATTGTCCCTGTTTGCAGGGTGGAACAAATATAATACATTGTCCCTGAAATTTCGACCTCATGTGTCAAGGTAGGTGACCATCAGGTGGGCCGTATACAAGCATGCGGCGCACCTGATGGTCAGTCAGTTTAGTCATGCCATGAGCAGACCAACGTTAAGTATTCTACGTAAGGCTCGTTTGAAGAAGGACATGTCAGTGTGACATAAACATACTTAAAGTCTTGTAGTAGTCGTCGTGGCCTAACGGATAAGACGTCCGGTGCATTCGTGTTGAAGCGATGCACCGGTGTTCGAATCCCGCAGGCGGGTACCAATTTTTCTAATGAAATACGTACTCAACAAATGTTCACGATTGACTTCCACGGTGAAGGAATAACATCGTGTAATAAAAATGAAACCCGCAAAATTATAATTTGCGTAATTACTGGTGGTAGGACCTCTTGTGAGTCCGCGCGGGTGGGTACCACCCTGCCTATTTCTGCCTTGAAGCAGTAATGCGTTTCGGTTTGAAGGGTGGGGCAGCCGTTGTAACTATACTTGAGATCTTAGAACTTGTATCTCAAGGTGGGTGGCCGCATTTACGTTGTGGATGTTTATGGGCTCCAGTAACCACTTAACATCAGGTGGGCTGTGAGCTCGTCCACCCATCTAAGCAATAAAAAAAAAGCCATATAGGCTCCGGTGCCATATAAGTAGCGTGAGCACTGAGCTCGTTCACTCATCTATGCAATTAAAAACTACGATTAATTAAGTTTAAACGACTGCCTTATTGTTCTAAGGTGTTATGTCTGTAACAACAGTACTAAGCAAATTGTGATTATAACTGACGAGGGTAGGTAATTAAAAAGGCCAAGGTTTCAGTAGAAAGTCCTTTACATATTTATTCAATTTAATAATAAAACTTAATAGAGGACAGAGGACATTCTTGTAATAATTAATATCAATATCAAATAATTTTATTGAAAATTAAAGTCAAGTAATTTTGTTGCCAATTTTTAGTGGCCATTATCGTAAAAGTAAATATCACAGTTCTTATTTAAAGTATTTGTGACCAAAACATTGTAAAAAGCTACTGATTGCTACGTTATATAAACTTATTTTGAAAAGTGTTTTCGCACAAGATTGACCCATTTATATATGGCTATAAATTATCTACTTTTTATAGTTAGTTTCATTTTAAAATGAAACACATTTTGGGTTACATGATTTCAATATTGTATTTATCTTTATCCTAGAAATGAAAAAAATCTTATTGTATGCGGTAAACATTCCTTATTGTGGTTTTAACATTAAAATACAAAAATATCAAGTTAAATTTATTCTGTACAATATCTAACTACAATAAGCACCATTTTCATTCTACCATATTTCTCATTTATAATTCCATGAATTGGTAATGAAAATCTACAGACTTTTTGCAGCAATTGAAATANTCTTTATCCTAGAAATGAAAAAAATCTTATTGTATGCGGTAAACATTCCTTATTGTGGTTTTAACATTAAAATACAAAAATATCAAGTTAAATTTATTCTGTACAATATCTAACTACAATAAGCACCATTTTCATTCTACCATATTTCTCATTTATAATTCCATGAATTGGTAATGAAAATCTACAGACTTTTTGCAGCAATTGAAATATCCTAATTTTGAGTAATTCTATAATTTCAGTTTCTTTAACGCTAAAACGTTTTAAATGTACAAATTAACTTTTACACTATATTAAATTTATGATTATGGCAATTTAGGATATCTTACAAATTTTAATTACAAATATTAAATTTAAGTGTACCTCTGTTACCAGCATTTATAATAGTGTTAAATAAATTACTTAAAAAATTTCAAATTTTATATTATTTAGAGTACATACTTATAAAATACATAAAACTAGCAAATAATACACAACATTCTCGTATCGTACAAATATGTTTGATAAAGTAAGGCATTGGAGAATAAATGTTTTCAGCAACATACAATATATATCTCGGCATATTATAGCACGAGTGTACATATACATACATATGTCATACATTAATTAATGTATACAATACACGCATATACTACAATTTATACAGGATGTCCAACGGTTATTTCTCATAGCGAAGTAATGTAACATTTTACATATCTATAAAATAAAATAAAAACACATTGTTGGTAGAGTGATTCTCAAAATGACTAAGATTCAATTAAATACAGAAAAGAGCAGTCCCGAAAGCTCATGGAAGAGAAAACGCCAAGCGCAAGCAAAGAGTATTGTAAGCGCGCGCAAAAAAAATGAAGGTAACGCTAATCGCCATATTGGATTGTTTCGATAACAGTCACAGGCTATCTACAGGACGATCGATTTGTTAAAAAAATGTATTTTCTGTAAATTTATTCGTATCCTATTCCTGCAAATATAATTAGAGTATTTTACCATAATTTAATATAACCGCGGGATACCCTGTATTCTTCACAGTAAGAATATAATGATTTTATAATCACAATGCTATATAGATAAATGGCATAGACATCAAAGGACAAGACGAACAGTAACTGTACAGAAGCTAAACGAATGGTGTTATATACCTTACATGTCATTAACAAACGAAACACTCGATCATATTGAGATCAAAATGTACATATAGTAATAACTATAGAAATAAAACTTGATACTTACAGCTAGTAATTAATCTAGTAAGTTCACAGGTATATATCTACATTTAATAATAATAGGAAATACAAAGGAGGCAGTGCAATTTTCGCAAATATTAAAAATTTAATTCTAGATTTTTATCAGACGTATTCTGGATATGTTTGCGTCGTTTTGAGTAAGTTTGATATTACAAATGGCTGAAGAAAAAGCGTAAGTCTTGTGTACTACTAAAGTTAAAATAAAAAAAGTGTATTCTGCGATTATTCTATAATAGTTCCAATCTACTTCAGTAAAATTGTAAAGACATATTGAGCGATATAACTAGANAAAAATTTAATTCTAGATTTTTATCAGACGTATTCTGGATATGTTTGCGTCGTTTTGAGTAAGTTTGATATTACAAATGGCTGAAGAAAAAGCGTAAGTCTTGTGTACTACTAAAGTTAAAATAAAAAAAGTGTATTCTGCGATTATTCTATAATAGTTCCAATCTACTTCAGTAAAATTGTAAAGACATATTGAGCGAAATAACTAGAGAAGAGATAAGTGCGATTAAGTTAGTTAAATGTAGCGTTGATGATGAACTCGGCGATCGTAAAGTAGATCCTGGTGCTGCAGGAGCGCGATAAGGATATTTTCGACCGCTTCTCTCTCCAGGACAACCCATCCAGAACGGGGCTGACGGAAGTTGTTGTTCGTGCTCCACTCGCATTTGCAGGTCGTTGAATTTCCAATATCCTTTTCCTTTGAAGAAATAGGTGTTCCCTGAAAATGTATGATTATAGAAATTATTACGACTTCTAATTATCTACACACCAAAATTGTTATTTGAACTGAGTTTAATTTTTTTTAATGAATTTCTACTTATATTTAGTAGATAATTCGTACCGTCTTTCCATTGGAAAACACTATCGATGTTGTATCCAACCCCCTTCCACATGGCCATATTACGGGGATAGTCCAGTTCTACTTTTCCTTCGTCTTCATCATATCTGAAAATTAAATTAGGTGTGTTACAAAAAAAAAAAAACAAGTTTCTTTATCCGTAAACACGATTACTTCAATTTAACTACTTTATGATTTACAAACGGGTGCCCGGTATTTTCTACGCATTTTGAATTAGGCCTAAGATCTTTTTATTTGCTAACTGATTATAATGTTAGCATATGCTTAACTCAATATATTAATTACCAATAATTTATTATAAAAAAAAGAACATAATATTCCTAACCTAAAGGTACATGACGTTATTATCCGCAACACGCTTCGTCAGATTATAGAAATAGAGTTATCAGCAACATGCTTCGTCATATATATATTAATTAAATCTACATCATAACTCAAAAATGGAGACTAAAGTACACAAATGCACAATTTAAACAAGTCTCTTAACGATTTTAACACATAAAAAAATTAGATAAATGAATGGATTTAAAAGAAATAGTTTTCATAAATGTTATTAATATGTATATATTTATACTTACTTCCAATACATAGTTCCACTGTAAAAGTAAGTTTTGCCATTGAGACTCCAAACCATTGCCGCGTCCAATTTCTCCAAAGTTTCAGGTAAACCCAGTTTGGTCAAAGGTTTCGGATAGCCGGGCAATAAATATTGTGAATTGAACAAATACAACTCCTTTCCTAAAATGAAAGTTGTTTTCATTAAAAAGTGTGTTTTTATTTATTTTAACTTTAAAGTCGTTATTGCTTAATACAAAATAATCATTGTATACAACGACAGCTTTGTTTTTAATTCTCAAATATTTCATTAAACTATTAGATACTGGGTAAATCGACCTACCTATAAAGATAGCAATATGTTTATCTGGTCTTTCATAAACAGCGTCCACGTGTGTTAGATTTTTTGGTAAACTGGACCACATTCTAGTTATTTCCATTGGGTAACCAGGATATCGACCGTGAGCTCCGATCCTCCAGTGATACTGTAAAAATGTAAAAAAATATATAAACAACTGTTGTAAACACTTAGATTATAGTATTCATTCAGCTAATAACTAGAAAGAAACGGGTGTCTTCGGGCTCTTTCTCCTCCTCCAGCGATGCTCATCATCTCTGATGGCAGTCACCACAGTGACTTTCGTCCCCATCAAGTAGTTGTTTTTTCACCCTTTCTCTAAGCCCTATCCTGACTTGGTAATTCAAGTGGTAAATACGTAAATCAGACAAATTATATTAAATTAACAACATGGTTACCTATAATTTTGTACTATACGATGTACCATTTCAACTATTGAGATGAGGACCACAAAAAAAGTAATTAGACAACTACATAAAAGTATAAGACTCACCCTGTCTTTGAATATGAAGAGTTCGCCACGTATTAAAGCGACAGCGTCGTAATTTGTATCACACGTATTTGGTTTATCCGATGGTGAAGTTGGAGTCGGCCTTTGTGGCGGCGTGGGCCTTTGAGTAGTAGTGGTAGTTTTCTCTGGATAGTATGGTCGCTTAGGATAATCTGATCTAGGGTAGTCCTGCTTAGGGTAATCTTGCCTAGGATCGACCGGATAGTTTGGTCTTGGGTAGCTGGGATACTCCGGTTTATAGGGGTATCGGGGGCGGTAAGTTATTGCGTGCGTGGTAGTCTCAATTCGAGGGTAATTGTAATTCGTTCTGCGTGGATGATCTTCGGTTGTATTGTGGTAATGACGATCAGGGTAATAAGGTCTTCTCGGGTAGTAAACTGGGTTTCTAGATGGATCACGGGGCATGTTCGGAACTCCATGATGTCTATTATGGTGGATATAAGGCCTTCTGGTTGTTGTGGTCGTAGTGGTAGTCGTAGTGGTTGTTGGTGGTGTTTGAACTGGTTTGTATGAAGGGATTCTTGCCCATTTCTTATTGTTTAATTTTGGACCTGAATACAAAAATACTTATGTCAGTAAATTCATCATCATATACCCGATTTAAAATAGACGAGAATCATTGTCGAAAACTTACCATACATTTGTTGAATGCCATTACGATCATCTTCAGGTAATACAAAGTTAGATTGAATACCCTGATACCAAGGGTACATCAGTGCGCCTTTTACACTACTGTGGCTAAGTCCTAACGAATGTCCAAACTCGTGAACAGCAACAGCAAAAAGTGATGTGCCTGAAATAAAAATTGTCATTAGAAACGAACTCTAAATTTTAACAAGCCTAACACATTTTTTAGTACCGAGTAGCGCATGAATAGAGCCAGTTATCTACTGAACCTATGGTTTCAGCTAAATAAAGGTGGATATTTACACGTGGCTAACCAAATACAATCTGAAGTGTCTGTTGTTCGTGTAAATTATCACGTACGAGCGGTGTGTGGTGCAAGCTCGCCTGCACTGTGATCGGTGTGAGCATATCCACGGGTTGCGGTTGCACAACCTATCCGCTTGTGTTTCATGTTTACACTATACCTACCTAGTAGCTGTAAACGATGCGTTTGGCTAGAATACAACCAGCACGTACTGAGTGAAAAATGCATATATTTTTCATCCTATTAAAGATAACTTTTTATTAATACACCGAGCTATATTTTCGTTATTAGTACATATGCCGCGATTGACATTTGAACTTAATAATTTAATAATCAGAAAATAAAACTACGTCTCAAAATGATTTGTATTATTTGATGAATTTTTAAATGTTTTATATTGGGTGTTCATTTTCACCTACGCTGAGCTATCAAGGCGAAAAACGAAGCAGAGGAAAACAAAAAAATCCAGTCCTGGTGAACATTTATAATAATTAGAAGAAGTAATGGTTTGTAAAAATGGAGAATGGTTTAAATTCCCTAATGCATTACTGCCAATGAATATATACAATTTACTGCGCTGTAATTCATTGCCAACTTCTATCATCTACTTTACTGCCTAACTATTTATTTTAAATTGAAAGTGTGGTCGCTTACAGTCGTATTCACGACCGTATTCTACCATGAAAAGAATAACATCGTATAATAAAAACTCAATTTCAATTTGCGTAATTAATGATGATGGGAAGTATTGTATAACCAAACGGGCAGGTATTACCATCTTGACTATTTCTGCTGGGAATCGGTCATGCATTTCGATTTGAAGGGTGGGGCAGCCGTTATAATAATATAACTGAGATTTGAAGGGTAGGTCGACTGGAGTATTAATGGAACTAAGACTTCAAGCTCATTGGCTTAAGACCGGCAGCCGCGTTCTTTTTTGCCGTATTTACCGATTTCTCAACACTAGGTGGATCGCAAGCTCCTCTGTACATCTTATACAATAACAAAAATCACATGTAATATATTTTACATAGTCTAATTAACTTTATTGTATAATTTTATTATGTATTAACGTGTCAAAATATGGTGGACCTCAACATGTTTATTTCCGGATACTACCCATGAAAATGTCATGGAACTTTATAGTATTGTCGAAAATTCTATCGGACTTATTTAAATGTTTCAAAAGGGGGTTGGGAGGGATGACTATTTAATATTGTCGAGTTTTCCCAAAGTTGAATCAAAGTGAAATCGATATAAAAGGTTTAAGAACAGGTCAGAGTTACTGAGCCGTCGTAAAGTTGATAGGGCTGTAACTGTAAATTCCGATGAATGACAAGTTTCGTGAAAATGAATTTCATCTGGACAAAATGAACGAAATGTTTTACAGGACAGAAATAGCAATAGGGAAAAAATCGATTTTGAAAATAAAACGATTATTTTTGGTAAATTTCTGTTAGTCAGGATATTAGGCCAAAGTAATAAATTTATATTATCATCAGTACTCACTTGATATGTGAGAATTTTTATAACTTGTTGATAATTACATTGAAAACTTTCGTAAGATAAATAGATACAGGTGAAACTAATAAAAGCGTACTAAAACTAATATACTACTATACTAATATAATAACTACTAAGGTATGAAAAGAAATTGTTTTTTTACCTTCTTCATCGTCATCTTTGGGCTCTAACAACCAGAGTTCGTCATCATCAAAGTGCGCGTCACCACCGCGGTCCACGCCAGGAAAGAAAGCGTGAGCTAGAATCGTACCTCGTCCATCGAATGGATATGCATCGTCATGGTAACGTCTGAAACAAAACAAAAAAAAATATTATTTATAGTTGATAAATTCTGCTCTGCGTTCAAAAAATAATTGCATGGGTATGTAATTACTCCACTTAACTATTATACTATTTACAAATGTATACATATTAGTTTTATATGACCACGAAACTTTTAATTTTCCCGGTGTACGTGTGTATACCGAATAATATATAATATATTCATCTCACAAACAACAAAACTACAGAGTAGACAGACTAGGTAGAGCAATCAAACTTATGTCCCTCGGGTGATGCCCGGTTACTATCCACCTAATCATTTTTCGCCGCAACAAAATACTACTAGTGAAAGACCACACCCATGCATATTTCACGCGATATTAGCGCACCGATGCGTTATTGAGTTTTCATGTGAAAGCTTTACCATTGTTACCTACAGTTTGTAATTTCTTACTTTTTATTCAGATTGGATCTATTCCCCATTTACTTTAAAGATTATGTTTTAGTGAGTAATATAATGTAAAGTAGTACAAGAGTAAGATTTAAAATTTTGGCAATCTTAACACTATTGCTCGGGTTTTTTTTTCCTTTTTGTTTGTGTTATTATCAGATTGAAGCTCTTCGTAAGAGCCTCGTATTTTGGCATAATGTTATGAAAATCATGTTTGGTGAAATATGAGCAAAATGAGGAAATGTCACGCTGACAAACGTTGTCAAAATATGTAATGGGTTCGAAATGGAAAGTTTCCGAGTTAGGGATGATTTATTACAGTGATGGTATCTGCCCTTCGTCACCGTTCGATCGACGCTGATGTACTATAGTGTATGTATAAAGTATGTTTAGGTACATTGCACATTGGATAAGTTAGACTTTTTTTAGGGTTCCTTTAGAGGTGAAACCTGAATGTCAGATTTATATTAATACCTTTCTGAATTTAATCCTTAACAATGGATTTGATACGAAGCGATTTAAGTTAGATTTGAATGGAAGCCCGGGGCGCAGGAATCTTAAAGGCGTTTCGATTTCAGTTCGGACTAATAAAAACATTGGAATAGAAATTCCTTAGAAAAGTCGGATTTTATTTTAATTTAACCATTATGTTAATAAACAGTGAAGTCAAATCCGTTTGACCTGAGTATTACATAGGTTATGTAACAAATAAGAATAACAATTTTCTTAGACGCCCCTAAGTGTTTGGTACTCTATTAAAATTGCAGTAATACGAAGTTCTTTTAAAATTTACTATAATTTTTTTGTATTAAAATTTCAAAATCACGGCGGCCATTTTTTGCATATTATGAGATTTGTTTAGAAGTGATGGTAACAATCAAAGCAGAGAAAAAACAAAAGGATTTCGTTACTGATGCAGAATTAGGATTAGAGCTTTTTGAAGAACTATTTTAAGCCTGTATGAATAGAAGAATAAAAGAGAGAAGAGAGAAGAGTAGAAAGTTATCTAGGGCTAATCGTGTTTGATGCCAATAATTACATTTGAACATTAAAGAGAGTACCAACAATTTTATAGTTTTCCTTATATCGCGTGAGGCTCGTATGAGAGCGTATTTAAATGGAATGTATCCTTTATTACATGAGTAATATTTCAGTTTATAGACGCAATAAATCTTAGAGCTGCAAATGTACAATATAGCCAGTCACGCTTTGTGCAATAACTACTTTACCATTGGATATAGGGTACTTGTCAACAGACGTTACTAGTATGGCTTCTTTGTAATTGTAATATTAATCATATTTATAATATACATTTTTAAATAGTTATAACAAAGACACATTATTGTTGTAATTAAATATTATAAAGACTACTGTCGTCGTTCAATAGCTAAATGTAATGATACACGCCTGCGTCAAGTCATATTATATGTATATATTATTTCTGAGAAACATTAAATTGTTTTGATCTAGTTGTGACTACACCTACAAATGTATCTCACCAAATTAAACACAAACAAATTTTGCATACATAATATTATCTAGCTTAGCTGTGATATATCTATGAAACTCTTTGCATTGTGTCTGCTGAATCTAGTGCCTATTGAGAATGAACTTCCTGTAGAATCCTGAAGGAAACGGAACAATTTTATAGTTAGCAATATAAGTTAACGACACGCATAAAATCCAACGTACCGTTTGATACTCGTTTTGTGTTTTGATGCTACTTATCAGTGAAACGACTTTAAGATGTATAAAATGAAATTCTGATATTTCTAAAAAAAAATACACACAAAAATACTTAAATCCGTGCCATTAATTTTGCCAATGGGAACGAACAACATGTTTTCGGCTATTTTTAATTATATGCTTTTATGAAAAAATATAAAAAAAAAAACTGATAAATATGCAAACCTTTGATGATGCTAGCTAATTCTATTTACGCTCCCATTAAAATAATATAATCAATCTGTGTACTCACATGAAATTTCTACCTCATTTTTTTCTTAATTGTATAATTATACATGGTATTTATCTACCTTATCTATCAATCTATACCTACTTATGTGTAAAAAGAATTTTATTAAAAAGGGTTAGAAAAAATTAAAATTTTTGGAAAACAAGCTCGAAGCCTGTACTAAAAACCTACGCTTAGGTGACAATGACAACTGTACTAAGGCTTCTGGTTCTTGGAAAATCTATAGATCACGGATAAATCCGTGATCTATAGATTTTCCAAGAACTATCTATAGATTTCCAAGAACCACCAAATGAAGTCGTCGTGGCCTAAAGGATAAGACGCCCGGTGTATTCGTATCTAGCGATGTAACGGTGTTCGAATCCCGCAAGCAACTACCAATTTTTCTAATGAAATATGTACTTAACAATCAAATCATAATAAAAATCAAACTCGCAAAACTATAATTTGCGTAATTACTGGTGGTAGGACCTCCTGTGAGTCTGCACGGATAGGTACCACCACCCTGCCCATTTCGGCCGTGAAGCAGTAATGCGTTTCGGTTTGTGGCAGCTGTTGTAACTATACTGAGACCTTAGAACTTATATTTCAAGGTGGATGGCGCATTTACGTTGTAAATGTCTATGGGCTCCAGAAGCCGCTTAATACCAGGTGGGCTATGAGCTCGTCCACCCATCTAAGCAATAAAAAAAGCTACTTATATATTGTTATTTTAAATTTATAAAAAGGATAAAGCGATGTGCAGTGCACCCATTGAAGGTCGATTTCAATATTTTCACCAATATTATCTACAAAACTGGGTTTTTTGTTTAAAGGGAATAAAGTGAAATTGTATGCAGCTCGTATCAAAGTTTCCCGCTCGAAGTCTCAAGTTTGTAGTGTCACCACAATGTGGCGGTTGCAATATATGTCCACCGCGCGGTTTTTGTCGCCTCTACTTTCTCATATCAAAGTCTACATTGATCTAATAAACGAAACTTCGCCCTTCCTTATTCAATATGCGACTCTTGTCCAGCGCTACGTCATTTGTCACAGTATTACAGATGTTAGATCCGTATACGAGTACGGTGTAGCTATATTCTTCACCTTTTTTTTTTAGATCGATTATAGTAGGTATACACATTCGAGTAATATTTGTTTTTAAGCTATTGCATAGCTTTTATCGCGGGCTTTGAGCGCGGCGACTGAATCAAGAAATTCCGTAACGAAAATAACCTGATACCCCCACTACGCTTACTATGTAGCTCGCGTTACACATTTACACGTTGCGCTGGTGTAGTGTTTGTGAATAAGTGCGCGGCGTGACGTCGCACTGCATGAGCATCATGAAAAGTCTGCCCATCTCTCTCTCACGCGGTCTAGCTTATGAGTGTGAAGGGGACAGTTCATGTTTTGCTTTTGTTAATGTTTATAAATATAGCGTCTTATTTTTATCATTGTTTTAATATTAAATTATTATTGTCCAATTGTAATTGGATAAGTTGATAAAAAATGCTTTGCAATAGCTTTACCGCGGCAGGACCGAGTGCCACACGTGTTTTTTTTTATCAAAAAATCCTCAGGCGTTAGGAAACATTTCTGAACTTCGATAAAATTTAAAATTCTTAATGTAATTGCCGCTTTTTAAGACGTTTTACAAGAAAACTAAGTGCCAGTCACAGGTCTTACAATACTTTAACTACGTTTCATGTAAAACAGGGATGGTAACTCGTAACGAATGACTATCGCGTGCAATGAATACGAAGCGCGGTCGAGGGGTGGCTTCGGTGTATTAACGAGATAAAAAGTTAATTTTCATTATAATAAAGTTCACGTATCCAAGGTGCTTCGTGCAAGAAAGTATCTTTATTCGGATTTTATTTAGGTATTGTAGGTAGCGTGACTTTATTAGATAACAAGCGAGGTGTTTTTGGCGTCACCTCACGTCCCCTGAATGAAAGTGAATCGTGATCGGAACCTCCCACGCTGAATGGCGAACCCATGCGTTCCAATTTCAACTTACGATTTCCGCGACAAACACTCAAGTTTTTCATTAGTCCAAAATTGAATTCAGCTTTGCAATAGGAACTTGAGGAAATTTGTTAAAATTGTCGCTTCTAGGATTATTAGAGTCGTTTTAGGGTTAAGGGTGTTTAAGATGTGTAAAATTAGAGGACACTATGTCGAATACATAGTGGGTGATCGGCAAGAAATGGATGGAGAGAGCCGAAGATCGGGCTCAGTGGTGTTGGTTGGGAGAGACCTACGTCCAGCAATGGAGGATTGATAATGGTGATGATGATGATGATGATATATTTAAACTCTGCCTGTGTAAATAGTAGGGTCATTGAGTATTTCGCTTGAATATAAAATTAACACAAACAATTATTACTGTATTACTTGTTAAATTTGAATTTCAAAGTATGTTTTCATTAGGTATTCTTTTTTTATTTTATTATTATTGTATTCCATCTTCGAGCCGATGAATTGCCAATGTTATGTACGCCATTATTGTCACATCCATCAGGCCATTAATTAAATAGTTTAAGTTATTTTCAATGTTAAATGTTTGTGATAAATAAATAAATAAACAACAGTTTGGTTATTTGCTCTCTTAAATGTTGTTTTTGTGGTAACTACCGATTGTATTGNTTTTTTTATTTTATTATTATTGTATTCCATCTTCGAGCCGATGAATTGCCAATGTTATGTACGCCATTATTGTCACATCCATCAGGCCATTAATTAAATAGTTTAAGTTATTTTCAATGTTAAATGTTTGTGATAAATAAATAAATAAACAACAGTTTGGTTATTTGCTCTCTTAAATGTTGTTTTTGTGGTAACTACCGATTGTATTGTTTTGATTAAAAACATGTATTTACTGGGTTTTTTTAACCACAATATTCAGTGTTGAGTAGAATTATAAATTTTTATTTCACATTTTATTCGCAGACAAGTTTTACTGGCCGACCCTATTCTGATGCCTTGCACGAGAACCTCACAAATCCCCTTAAAATGGATACGACGTTTCTCTAAATCCTCACTTGATTATTATTTATTATCAGCACAATAAATCAAGTGGGAAGCTTGGAATTTTATAGAAACTTGCCGTTTGATGTTGTAGTAGTTGATTTGGAAGATTACAAAATGTCTATACCTAGTACATAGATTATTATGTGCTGTACTTTTTCTAAAAAAAAATCCTCAAAGTAAAAACCTTTTCAAACGAACATACCGAAGGTCATTTTTATTCAACAGTCGCATTATTTTAGTGTTGTTCAAATTGTAGAATGATGAATTTCAAATTGTGAATTTTTTAGTCGGATCTTGCTGTTTCCTAGGCTTTCAATTTGTAATTCAAAAATAATGATTTATATTTACATTTTTCAGTTGCTTGTGCCCATATGCCACGAGTCGATTTGTTAGTACGTAAAGTCACGCTCCAGTGAACAATTGCTTTAGCAGATATACTCAGAGTTGCCCGGATCATGCCTTCTAATGTGTTAAATAGTGATTATATGATAAACAGTTTGACTATGTCTTACCCAAAATTTAATCCAAATTCGTTCAGACATTTTTGTATGATTGCGTAACAAACATACGTTTTTTCTCATTTATAATATTGAAAGAACAAATAAATGTTTCAATGCACTTACTTGGCGAACGAGACAAGGATATCGGCCTCTTCCGAATTTACTTCTGTGAAAGTAAGTCGGGAGGCTTGTTCCCAAACGTCGAGGGCGCGTGCCAACACGCTGCGTGTCTCGTACGGGTCCAGCAGAGAAGGGCGACGCGTCGATGACAAACTGTAGACAAAAAATAAATAATGATTAGCTTTTTTTTTAGATTCACCGAGCGAGTAGAATAATGATGATCGAACGTTGAACTCAACGTAGTATTAGAGATTTTAATTTTTTTTTATGTTTTTTATTTCATTTACTTCATATCTTGCATCCATATTACATTCATTAACATTCCATATAGTATACCAGAATTAAATAAAAATAATAACTACAATCTCGGGTAAAACAAAAGCAATAATAATAATAAAAAACAAAAAATCAAATAATAATACCTAATAATAAAACAAAAACTCAAAATTAACATAAAAACTACCATAACCTAAAGGCTGGTTTGGATCCAGAATGCTCAACATGCACACGTGTCCAGTGTTGCATTATTGGACAGTCCAGATCCATCCGCGAGGCGTCATTGACATATTTCATTGTAAGAAGCATAATATGATTAGCTAATTAAGTACATTGCTCAGCAATTTTGATCATTCGTTTTGAGTGCCATTTATGATTCTAATGTTCTAGTTTATATCGGAGGTTAGTAAATTACAGAAACCCATTGAGCTAGGCACAATGTAGTTTGTGAATCACATGGCCGAACGAGAAACTATTAAAATTAAGAAAATACCATCACTTTAGCATAGACGATTGGCGCTTATCTAACATCTGGGTTCCTTTTAAGGTGACAATTTAAACACGAGTCAAATAAAATACATACAACATAATATACTTGAGAATACTAATAAGAAATAGAATACTAATAATACTAATACTAATAATAGAAAGGTGGGTGGCGCATTTACGTCGTCGATGTCTATGGGCTCCAGTAACCACTTAACACCAGGTGGGCTGTGAGCTCGTCCAGCCATCAATAATTAAAAAAAAACTTTTTGTTCGTAAAGAAACACAAATTTCAATATTTTTATATGAAATTAGATGGCAATTAGTGAAATATTCAAATGTAGACGAAGAAGACTTTAGTCTTTCGTAACCACGACTTGGCGTCGCTCGGTGGAGCAGGAGCTAGGGGTCTTGGGCATGACGTGGGAGGAGCTAGAACAGACTACCCAAGACCGATATAAATGGAAAAATTTGATTCGAGCCCTACACCCCAGCAGAGGGTAATAGGAAATAATGATGATGAACCACGATAACTGTACAGTATTCGAAGTGTCGAAATAACAAAACGAAAATAATAACTGCCGATTAAACCATAAAAATAGTTTTAATTATGAACACGACTCTCAAAGTCTATTTTTGTTTGTTTGTTGCATAGATGGTTGGACGAGCCCGCCTGGTGTTAAGTGGTTACCGGAGCCCATAGACATCTATAACCTAAATGCTGCCACCCACCTTGAAATATGAGTTCTAAGGTTTCAGTATAGTTACAATGGCTGCCTCACCCTTCAGACCGAAACGCATTACTGCTTCTCGGCAGAAATAGGCAGGGTGGTGGTACCTACCCGTGCGGACTCACAAGAGGTCCTACCACCAGTAATCTATACTATCGTATACTAAGCATCAACTAACTACATATATATTTCAAAACTTTATTTTGTAACATTGAAATAGCTGTGTGCGTTATTGTGGTTGCGCTTGTTCATTGCACAGCATGTTCGGTCAGATAAAATATCGTTTTCGCCGATAATTAAAACTGGCCAACGCCAAAAGCGAGCGCGGTCGACGTTATTAACAATTGTTTTAATGAAATTATTAGAAGACTCCCGGGAAATGTTACGAAATATTGTGTAACAACGCATTGTTAAGCGTATTTGTTAATCTGTAAATTTCGATATTAACTAGTACATGTACTATGGCATCGGATGCTAGGAAACATTTTCTTCTCTCCATTTTCGAAGTTAATTCAGTCAGAATTAATTCATGTACCTAATTTGCACGAGGCTATCATAAAAATAACATGGATTCGCTTTATTTTCAATTGTTGAGAAACCTACTGCAGTTCTTAGTATTTTCGTGTAGGTAATTACTTAGTCATGTTTTTTTATTACATAAAAAAGTGGTTTGAATAAAAACACATTGTGAATGTTAAAATAATAGAACAAAATATTGTTTGAACTTGTTGGCAACAACGACTACGTAAACAACCAAGCGGAATTTATTTTTGTAAACAATTAATTTACATTCAGAGGTTTCGTCGGACTTAGCGTTACACAGTCTTCACATTCAAAAGTTACTGTGATTGAAGCCGGAAAAATAACTTTTTAAGAAATAAAGTTCTCGCCATGAACCATAATTTGATTTCAGAACACGTGAGGAGTCATTGTAACAATTTTATTGTAGTGCTTTTGCTGGATTCCGGGGCACGTTGCCTATCCGCAGTTCTGAAGAAGTTGTGAACAAACAGAAGCCTACAAGTACGACTCAAGGGTATTTATTGAATGCGTGATCGGTACACGTGCCGGCGGCCGGCTATGTGAGGCCACGTGAGCACGTGTCATCCACAGAGTCCTATAGAATCTGGTCACACCTGCTAATATTCAATAAGGACGCTTAGTTACCTAGCTACGTCATCTCTGATAGTTATAAATTTCGCTTTCCATTGAATTGATAAATAAATTACACTCACTTGGGATTCAGCCTTGTCGAATTTAGTACAAATACCGATGTTTAGTTAGAGCGTGTATTATTTATCTTTTATCGCATAGAGATTGACACCCGCATGATTTTACGAATATCTTCACTATAAATATTGTTCATTGTGTTTCGTTTATTGGTAATAAACGGGAACGATGCGTTCAATGTTCACATTAAAATGTATTTGTATAATTTAGCGAGGGCGAAGAGGGAATTGCGTTTATAGCGTGAAATAATAAAACATGCGGTATCGTAGAACATGGCGACGTCTTACGAAGGAAACGGACATAATCACGTTACGATGTCATAACAAACAGATTTGTAAGCACGAAATTTATGGTCTGTGTCCGAAGAGCTAAAATTTAATTTTCTGAAATAATCTGTTAGCGAGTCATTAAAATTATTCGTTCGTGCTGTGTTTCACAGGAGTCAAAATTAACTGTTTGCAGTGATGTTACAATAAATTTACCATAAGTCCTACNACGAAGGAAACGGACATAATCACGTTACGATGTCATAACAAACAGATTTGTAAGCACGAAATTTATGGTCTGTGTCCGAAGAGCTAAAATTTAATTTTCTGAAATAATCTGTTAGCGAGTCATTAAAATTATTCGTTCGTGCTGTGTTTCACAGGAGTCAAAATTAACTGTTTGCAGTGATGTTACAATAAATTTACCATAAGTCCTACTGATTTACCGTCTATTCAGTTAAATGTAGATTTTATATATGGTTGTTTCGTTTTCATATTAGAATTCATTAATTCATCATAATTATTAAATTCCTAAACGCACTTTTCAGAATAAATTGTAGAATACAATCCGTGCATAAATGAATTTTATAAATGTTCATAAATAAACCTTTATTTGCATTATTATTATGAAATAAATTAAAATGCAATCGATATAAAGTCAATGATAATTTTTATACGCGTATTAAACGGAAGTAATAGGAAAACGTTCGAGTGAAATCTTTTGTTAACACATTTAATTGTCCTTCTTTTCAACAATGCATTCTTTTCAAATGCATTCCCTTTGCGTCGAGAATTTTTCGAAGTCGTAAGCTAAGATAAGTGACGTGGCATCAGGTTCACTGGGGGCTTGAAAAGCGGCTTTACCTTCACTGCCATTTCTTTATGTATAATGGATTTAAAACGATCTTTGCTTGAGAAATGCATTCACCAATTTTTCAATTACTGAAATTCTTTTTTAAATGACAAATATTCACAGTCAAAAATAGTTTGAACGGAACCAAATCAAAGTTTTCTAAGCTTTTCTCTTGACGTTTATAGAATTTCCAGCAAGAATTGGTATTGAATAGAGAACAGATGGCTAACGCGACATTAACAGGCTTGCCGTCGAATCCTAATTGACCTTTATCGGGTACTTGGATAATAATAGCTCCTTTGACTCCGCCGTCGGCTGACGATCGGCTTTCACGTGTACTATTGTCGAGAAAGCATTGATGCTCCTCGGGGATTTGAGCGGATTTCTATACAACGCTTTAGCGCCTCTGTGAACGTTTCACTGTGCATAAACGAAGCAGATCTTAGCAAAGTTTCTCAGGCTTAGCCCCGTCAGCTCGCCAACACTTTCAGTGAAGCTAAAATAACCCCTTGAGGCTGTTGGCAGTAGGTAGGCAAAAAAAACGAAACAAAAGATTTTATGTCTGCTGTCTTCACTCTGCAAGGTAAGTACTGTAAATGGACGCTTTATCTATCTATAGTAAGTCCGGGCATTTCTGCATAGAAATCCATTCTGCTTTTCTGCTTTTTTTTATTGCTTACATGGGTGGACGAGCTCACAGCCCACCTGATTGTTAGTAGTTACTGGATCCCATAGACATCTACAACGTAAATCCGCCACCCACCTTGAGATATAAGTTCTATGGTCTCAGTATAGTTACAATGGCTGCCCCACCCTTCAAACCGAAACGCATTACTGCTTCACGGCAGAAATAGGCGGGGTGGTGGTACCTACCCGCGCGGACTCACAAGAGGTCCTACCACCAGTAATGTTTCAGTTCAGTTCAGTTTCAGTCTTTTACATCTTTCAATCATACAATCATTTACATCTTTTCATTGCCTGCAATGTTTTTGCTATACCCCTATCGGTGGTACCCCTCTTTGTTTTTTTTGTTGTGAAAATCTGTGTGCACTATACTTCGGTAAACTAGTAATAAGTATTCGTAATTACTCTACCATTACTATTTATTCTGCAAAGGACTATGCTAACATACATCTCATTTACGGAGACACATTGGAGACACACAATGCCAATGCTCATAAACGTTTTGTGCTAGGTTGTAATGAGAAAATTCATTAGCTTTAAATTTTTCAATGATATGGCTGAAACTCGAGTGGTACTGTGTGTAGAACGTTGATTTTTACTGGCTTCATATGAGAGTTTTCCGGGACA